TTTTTGAAACATGTTTATAATTCTTCAAGTCCTGGTTGACTCCATCTGGATAATCCTTGGGTCTGCTTCTAATATATATATTCTTTTCCCCTTAGTCTTTAGTCAGTTTTCCTGCTCTTCTGCGAGTCCTGTCATTTTTCATGACTGAAAATTTAAATCTGTAGGTACTGAAATCTTTTCTCAGTAATGGCTCACTCTTAATTCAGTAGACAATGAGATGCTGATGACCTTAATCCAATTAGGAATTGAGCTGGGTCATTGCCCAGGTGCAGGTTTATTTAGGCTTAGTCCACTTCTGATTTCAAATGTCTGTTGTAGGCTTTTTTTAGTGGGGCATTGTCTCCCAAGTACTGCAAAACTGCAGAAAACATTACTTTGCATTTCCAGTCCAACCCCCAATCTCCACCACCAACCCAGGGCTCAGAGAATATCCTATGGGAAAGGCTGTCCAAAGCTGTGACATTTCTCTAGATTCCAATACATCACACCAACCCACAGAGCCATCAAAACTCTTCCAAATTTACTTTCCCATGATAGTCTCTCAGTCTAATGCAGGTCTGTTTCTTAGCAATGCCCAAATATAATAAATCCCCGGAGAAGAAAATACTTGGCAATTTTAGCTCATCTAGGGAGGGCCCTACCATCTCTGGAAAGTAGTTATTTTGATCATCATTGCTTCCACAGACTTCTGATGGCTTTAAACATATTTGTAATTTACGTCTTTTTTAAATCTTGTGCGGTGAGAGTGATAACCTGCCACTACCTATCAAATCCGATTCAGAAATGAGGTATGACAGCTGTACCTTGCCTATAAGTAGAATTTCAACAACAAAAATGTTGACCAGCTGTTCTCCCTTTCCATAAGGGACCAAAGAGGAGACTCTTAAACTTCCTAACTGTGGACAAAAGAAAATGCCTTCCTACTGCAAACGTTACTATTTCTCAAAATGATGTTGAACCCCTGCTTGGAGGATTCTAAAAGTTTCAAAACAGCCGATCTCAGATGGCTTTAATTCTGATTTTTTTTTTTTTTCCTGGCTGTTAAAATTTGAAGTTTTCAACTTTTTATTTAAAATGAGCTTCCCTGCAATGTCCATATGCTTTCTGAGTGCTTCACTGAGAATCGGGTTGTGTTGCTTGTTCTCCTACAGGGACCCCTCTTTGCTAGAATTCTATAGAATTCAAACTTGTAAAAACTCAGACTATAGTCTGAAATTTCGTACATCTTGTTTCTATATCTTTAGAGATCACTCAGTTTCTAACTTAAGCTTTCTTATTAGCCTAGTACTGCAGCTGGAAGACATTAAGACAATACGTTTTAAGTGGTCTTTATCTGTAGTGTTTCACATGAATATTGAGATTGCCAGACACTAAAGTGGTATTACGATGGCTTCCTCCAGTATCCCTTTTGAAAATTAAGGTTATCTGGGGGGAGATTGTCATCTATGGAAGACTTATGGATACATGTTCATGGCATTCTAACTTCAGAAAAAGGACAAAACAAAAATGTCTATTTCCCAGCGTGTTGTCTGTCCTATTTGAGAGCACAGCAGCTGAACTATAAATCTTAACAAACCATACTTTGTTTCACTGCAACCTACAAGGCAAACACTTGTTGTTTTCATGCTTTTCTACTTTAATTACGTTTCAAGAAGAGGGATAATAGAGTTGTATGATGGCCGAGGACTTACTTTCAAAAACTGACGGGGCCTCTGGAATTTGGGGATGCTTCTCTGGCTCTTTCCTGAAGCATTTTTCAGGGTCTAGAAGGAAAGCAGGTTTATTTACTTCAGGCAGCTCTTTCAGGACTCCAATGCTTAATGACCTAAATGCACCTTCACAACAGCAGGTTTTAGAGGAAGACAGGGAGAAAGAAGTATAATACCATTAATTTCTTAGAAGGAGCTAGCACATTCCAAGTCACTTTTTATAAATTTAACCTTCCTGTTACTCAGCTGGTACAGCTGCAGTGATCAGCAAACCCTATAAACACAGCTGTTCAAAATCTATGGTGCTTTTTATTCAAAGGAACCAAAAGGAACTCAAGGTTTCCCATTCATTTTGTGTTTCTCTATTTTTCCCTTGAAAATGAATATTCTGCAGTATTGGAAAAGCTCCAGTTTTTCATCTACAAGAAAATTGTATTCTTTGTAGAATGGAATCTATTTTTTTTTCAGTGTTTAACAAAATATCTAAAATCTTGAATTGACAGGTACCCTTTTAAATATCAACTAACCAGAGCTGTGTTGTGTTATGCTCACGAGAAGAATCTATTTTAATCATGCTCTTAAAGGCAAAGTCTGGGACAAAGTTTCTCTTTGCTTCATGTAATTGGAATAATAGAATGGAAATCTATTAAAGCTCCAAAATACATTGAATTAAGCTTTAAGATGTAATGACCTGATTTTCAGACTGGACCCTCTTTGGCCAATTTCTCCTTTTGCAATGAAAATGTTTAGCCAATGCCTGTGCCCCCATTTTATCTTGGAAGTAAATGACTTGTTTCTTTTAAAATCATAAACTTCATACTTCTAAGTTAATGCTGGAATGAGTTAAAACTTTGGAGGACTATGGGGAAGGCATGATCTTATTTTGCAATTTGAGAAGGACATGAGACTTGGAGGTGCCAGGGATGGAATGACATAGTCTGGATATTTTTCTTTGTTCTGTGAAGGTAGGAACTGGGTTTTTGTCACAATGGTGGCTCAGTGCCTAAGAAAATGAAACTAATTCAGCAACTGCTATGGAAAAAGTCATGTGCTATGTCAGTGGATTTCAAACTAATGGGCATCGGAATCACCTGGAGGGCTTGCTAAAACAGACTGCCATGTGACCCCCTTGGATTCTGACTAATGGAGGAAAGCAGGGATGAGGGTCCCAGAATTTACATTTCTAATAAGTTTCAATTGATGCTTATGGTGCTAGGCCAGGGGACCACTCTTTGAAAACCAATGTGCTATGTCAAAGAAGAAATCTTCACAACATATAGGGTTTCGTTGTGCCCTTAAGACAGATGAGGAAACTGAGGCTTAGGATGGTTTAGTAATTTGTCTGAGTTCACATAACTGGTAAATAGCAGACCATGGACTTAAGTTGAAATATGTTTAATCCCAAAGGTTATGCTCCAAGACATAACATTACTAATAAAATTGCATTGGTTGCTATAATATGCCAGGCACTGGTCAAAGTGCTTTACATGTTTCATGTAATCCTAACAACTCTGGAGTAGATTAGTTGATAATTGATAAACATTTCAATGTCTATCAGCTTTTTACAGCAAACTTTCACCAGAAATTTACAACATATCTGCTCTATGAAAGTGTGGCATTCCCTTGGACCTAAGTTTATTTATAGTGAGTGAAATATTTTCATTATAAAATAAAGCTTAAGGAAGGATTCTCATCTGTTTCTAAACAATATACCTTAGTATAATAATTCTCTTAGGTTACTGGTCTTATAATCCCTTTCTAGTCAGCCAGCAACTAGACTAACACATTGTTCTGTGTGACTTCAGGATTTCTGAGAACAAAAATAGTTTCTATTCATCCTTATTAAACACTTAAGGGAAAGAATATTCTGGTGCCATCTCCATTTTTGGAACTGTATTAGGTACTTCACACATTTTCTGACTAATATAGTTCGGATATTTGTCCCCTCTAAACGTCATGCTGAATTGTAATCCCCAGTGTTGGAGATGGGGCTGGTAGAAGGTGACTGGATCACAGGGGGCATATTTTTCATGAATTTAGTGCCATTCCCTTGGTGCTGTCTTTGCAATAATGAGTGGCTTCTTGCAAGATCTGGTGGTTTAAAAGTGTGTGGCACCACCCCGAACTTGCTCCTGCTCTCGTCATGTGATGTTGCTTGCTTCCCCTTCACCTTCCATGATTTTAAGGTTTCTGAGGACCTCGCCAGAAGCTGGGCAAATGTTGGTGCCTTACCTGTACAGCTTGCAGAACCATGACCCAATTAAACCTATTTCCTTTATAAATTACCTAGTCTTAGGCCATTTTTGCATTGCTATAAATACCTAAGAGAAAATTGGTACCAAGAACAGGGTATTGCTATAAAGATACCTGAAAATGTGCAAGTGGATTTGGAAGTGGCTAATGGGCAGAGGTTGGAAGAGTTTAGAGGACTCAAGACAGGAAGATAAGGGGAACTTTGGAAATTCTTAGATTGGTTAAATGTTGGTAGCCAAAATGCCGATAGTGATGTGGACAGCAAAGTACAAGCCGACAAGGTTTTGGATGGAAATGAGGAACTTGGAACTGGAGCAAAGGTCACCCGTATTACGCCTCACCAAAGACCTTGGCTGCATTGTGTTCATGCCCTCGGCATCTGTGGAAGTTTGAACTTAACAGTGATAACATAGAATTTCTAGTAGAAGAAATTTCCACACAGCAGAGCACAAGATGTACCCTGGCTGCTTCTAACAGCCTAGCTTAGAGATGTGGGAGCAAGGAAATGACTTAGTTGGAAGCTACATTTAAAAAGAAAGCAGAATGTCAACGTTTAAATTTGCAGCCCAATCACTTGGCAAACAAAAACATTGTCATGAGAGAAATTCAAGCAGGCTGTGGAGCAACCACTTGCTAAAGAGATCTGGATAACTAAAGGAGTCGAGCTAATATCTAAGACGACAGGAAAGAGGCCTTGAAGGCCTTCTAGACAGCCCCTCCTGTCACAGGCCCACAGACCTAGAACAGCCATGCCACTCTTCCTCACATCCCTGCTGCTCCAACTCCAGCTATGGCTCAAAGGGCCCCAGGTGCTACTTGGGTAGCCACTCGAGTGTGTGAGGCATTAGCTTTGGTGGCTTCCACGGTCAGCCTGCAGGTACTTAAAGTACAAGAGTGAAGGAGGCGTGGCAGCCTCACGTAGATTTCAGAGGGTGTAAGAGAGCCTGGGTGCCCAGGAGGAAACCTGCTGCAGGGGCACAGCCCTAACGGAGAATCCCTACTAGCCAAGCAAAGGGGGGAAATGCAGGGTTCGAGGCTGCATGCACTGCCTAGTGGAGCTCTGTAAAGGGGGCCACTGTTCTTCATACTTGAGAATGGTAGATTCACTGGCAACTTGCATCCTGTGCTTGAAAAAGCTGCAGGCACTCCAACCCATGAGAACAACCACAGGGGCTGTTCCCTGACAGAGGGGCAGATCTTTGTAAGACCGTGCGAGCCCACTCCTTGTGCCGGTGTGCCCTCGATGTGGGCATGGAATCAAAGGAGATCATTTTGAAGCTTTAAGATGTAATGACTGTCCTGCTGACTCTCAGACTAGCCTGGAGCCGATAGCCCCTTTCTTTTTGGCCAATTTGCCCTTTTGCAATGAAAATATTTAGCCAATGCCTATGCCCCCATTTTTATCTTGGAAGTAAATAGCTTATTTCTTATTTTAAGGCATATAGGTGGAAGCAAGTTACCTTGTTTCAGGTGAGACTTTGAACGTCACTTTCAAGTTAATGCCGGAATAAGACTTTGGAGGACTATTACAAAATAAAATCATGCCTTCCCAATGGGAGAAGGGCATGAGGTTTGGAGGTGTCAGGGGTGGAATGATACAGCCTGGATGTTTGTCTCTGCCCAAACTTCATGTTGAAATGTAATCCCCAGTGTTGGAGATGGGCCCTGTGAGAGGTGTTTGGGTCATGAGGGTGGATTCCTCACGGCTTGGTGCTGTCCTCACAGTAGTGAGTTCTCAGATCTGGCTGTTTAAAGTGTAGCACCTCCCCCAATCCCTCTTGCTCCTGCTGCCGCCCTGTGATGTGCCTGCTACTGCTTCACCTTCCACCAGGCAGACGCCAATGCTATGGTTCCTGTTCAGCTTACAGAACTGAGCCAATTAAACCTCTTTTCTTTATAAATTATACAGTCCCTGGCATTTCTTTACAGCAAAGCAAGAGTGTTCCAGTGCACTGGCTTAGACCTTAGTTTCTCCACTTGTATTTTGTGGTGCCTTGGACAAGTGACTTAATGTCTTTACCTCACTTTTGTTAAACGGGGTTCACAGGACATTACATTCATGTTTGTTAAGGAATAGGAACATTCCTGGCACAAAGAATAGCTATTTTTATTCACGCTAATCTATTAAATAGCATAGAAATATATCAAGTGACTACTTAATGATTTTTTTTTTATGACTTCACCATAATATGGTTGTTTTTTTCATACAGGTATTATATTTTATGCCTAAATTTATATCTTCTGATCTGACACTGGAAGAAAATAATTCGATGAAATTATTAACCACAAAGATGAAAAATTCTTTCTGGATATATGCATCTTTGACCAAAAATCACTTCTGTGAACTGTAGTGAGATTTGTTTACACTAATCAAGACATTTTTTAACAAAATACCTGCTAACCAAGTGATAATAGAAAAGGGTGAGAGCCAGAATGGCCAAGAGTCTAATTAAGCAAAGATGATGTCCCCATAGCAACAAGGTCAGAAAAAATTATACAGAAAATTTTACAGAAACATACATTATCCTTGTCTTAATGTAAGAAGTAAGCAACAATGCTTTGTGTCAACGCTTATTTATTCAGTGTTAGGCATGGATCTTTAGCGCATCCAAAATGCAAAGAATTCAGTATTTTTGAAGCTGCTTATATGAATCGATAAGAAAACTTCAGCATAACTTGAATCCAGAGTTTTTATCAATAAAATATGGGAAGTAAAACGATTACATAGCTGTATATAATCTTGCGAGAAAATAGAAAATGATCTCAAACATTTAAAATTCACTCAGACTTCAACCTTAACAGCTACGTCGCCAAAAATTTAGTCTCTTCCAGCACCAAGCCAGCAAACGCATCCATCTTCACAAAATTGTGGAGAGCCCTGGGGATCTTAACTTGCCCTCTTCCTTCTGTCTTCCCTTCATCACTCAGCCCTTCATGGTTACCACTCTTCCAATCCCTAACTTTTACTCTTGCTGCTACAAAATCCATAGCAGACATAAGACCCTGAGCTGTTTCCCATACCCTCAGCCTCAATTTTCCCCTCAATGTAATGGGACTCTTGCTGTGGATTTAAAAGGAAATAAGATGGATGAAAGTTCAGAAATATGCCTAATAAATAGTATTCAAGTAATGCTCATTTCCAGCCTTTTTCCTCCATTCTACTTTTACTGTATCTTCCAAATCCAAAAGACTTTAAAATATCAATACAAGTAAAAAGTCTACATATCACTCTTAAAGTTAATATTAAATGCTATTTGTATAGCTTTTAAGTAGTAACGTATTCCTTTCTCATAAACTTTTCATTTTAGAGTCTTTAGATTTGCAGAAAAGTTAGAGCTCCAGTATACCCTTCACATTTTTCCTGTTATATTACACTACCATTTGTCACAATAAAGAAATCAATATTCGTACATTACTATTAACTGAAGTCCATCTTTCATTAGTTACTAGTTTTAATGTCATTTTTCTGTAAGGTCAACATGTTATCTGACTCCCTGTCCTCTGGCCACTTTTCTGGCTTTTGTTATGATCTTGACAGTTTTAAATACTTGTTGGATTTTTTTGGTTAAAATGTCCCTCGTTTGGGTGTGTCTAATATTCTCATGGTGAGACTGGGGCTATGTGTTGTAGAGAGGAAAGTAACAGAGGTGAACTGCCACTTACCCATCCAATAAAGGGTGTGTGCTGATAGCACCTGACTTTCATGGTTGACGTTAACCTCAAGCACCTGACCACAGTTGTATTTGCCAAGTTTTTAGTAACAAGTACTTTCAAGAGCAGCTATAGTTACTTTTTACATTTTTAAAATGTTATTCTGGAAGCAAGTTTTCAATCATAGCACACATTTAAGAGGGGTTGGGGGAGTCGATCACAATTGCCTTGAATCAGAGTATCAACATAAGTTACTTGGAATTATAGATTTTTTTTTTTTCCTTCTAGGAGAGTTTTGTCACTGGGTAGGTGGGCAGTTTTTCCCCAGATTGCACTGGAATGGCATCCCTCACCATATGCCATCTCATGTGAGTAAGAATTAGCATTTAGCCACTATTTAGGCTTTCAAGACAAAAAATGATATCCTTCGAGAGGCATTTAAAGATAGTAAGGGGATTTGCAAAAAAGTTGGGTTTGGATACTGAAAGCATGGAGTGTGGTACAGTTAGGACTTGCAGTTACTGAATTAACTTTTTTCTAGAGAATTATTTCAACATGGAAAACATTCTGGGGGCAAGGCACAAGTAAGGAGATTCCCCTTCAGAGTGGTTAACAAAATACCTCGATTTCTCCACCTCCAAAATACACTAAACTTCCCTGTTTTTGGACCATTTGCTTTCAGACTATCTCATCCTGTGGAATCTAAAGTAGCTTTTGTATAAAGCACAACAATTTGCCCATTCCCACTAAAGAGTTTTATCCACAGAGGAAGAAAAGCACACAAAGGGTAGGAGAGAATCTTGGAAATCACAACAAATAGTCAACAATCTATTGCTTCCTGTTCATAGATACACATCTAACATTTGCAGGAGTGGTTACTATGAAAATGCACAGGAAACTGGAAAGAGGCAATATTCCCAAGAGAAATGATAAATAACCAGAAGACTGTAATACCAGGCTTAGAGTTTAAAACTTTTTGAGAAAATGCCTAGGTGATGTAGGAAGGGGATCTACTATGGGATCCAGCAGCCTTGGCATCAGTCCTATGAGAAGAGGCTCTAACTGATCTCCCTTCTCTTGACTCTGGCTGTGAAAGGGAGGTATGATGACTGACAATCTCTCGAGTGCCCTCCTAGGCATAAAAATGGAAGGGAAAATGCTTAGAGTAGTGGCTTATACATAGCAGGTACTTGATAAAATATTTGATTGCTTGACTCGGAAACCAGTAATTTGTCAACATTTTCACATGATGCTTGTTGGCTAGACAACATAGAACAGTGGTAAAGTACTAACTCTGGAAGCCTGAATGCCTGCATTTGTATCCCTGGTTCACCTCTTGGTTGATTGACCTGTGCAAATCGCTTCCCTGCCTCTGTTTTTCGAGTTGTGAAATGGGGCTAACAACTCTCTCCTAGGATTACAGTGAGAATTAAATAAGGTAAACATACAAAGACCTTAGAACAGGGCCTGAAACACATTAAGGGCTCAGTTGGTATTGGCTAGTATCACTTTAAGCAGGAACGAGACAGTATTTTTCACTTGAAGCAGGGACTTCTAACATCCCCTACAGCCAGTTCTAATATTCTTGAGCTATCGGAATGACCAGGCAAAAAGTAAAAAGATGTGGCACTTCCCCAAATAATTTGCTGCTCTAATATTTTTAAAGTTCAAATTTCAACCATTGCATAGATCTTCACATGCTTTCATTTGTCATATGTGGACATAGGATAGTTATTACCAGATTATTGGCTAAAGTAGACTGCCAATCCTTCAAGTATTCACATAAAGTCTAATTTAAAATGGGATTGTAATAGTTTGTGTATCTTTTTCTTACAGCTATTCATCTATTTTCTAATTTCTCACATGAAATCTCACGGAATGATTAGGTAATCGATAGCATTTAAATAATATCTGTTCCCTCCTAACAGTAACACGGAACTTAATTTTCCATTTTTAAGAAACGTTAATTTGAGGTGTGCTTTCTGCCTTATATAAACTTCTGGGAAACTAATGGAATTTCATTTCTCATCTGATTCTATATACTGGTTTCTAATAATGAATCCCTTCCTGATAAGCCATTTTTAAAATGGTAAGCAAAGAATGTGTCGGATAATAAAAGAAGCCGGGCACCGTGGCTCATGCCTCTAATCCCAGCACACTGGGAGGCTGATGAGGGCAGATCACAAGGTCAGGAGTTCGAGACCAGCCTGATCAACATGGTGAAACCCCATCTCTACTAAAAATACAAAAATTAGCAGGGCATGGTGCCACATGTCTGTAATCCTGGCTACTCAGGAGGCTGACGCAGGAGAATCACTTGAACCCAGGAGGTGAAGGTTGCAGCAAGCCGAGATTATACCACTGCACTCCAGCCTGGGCTCCATCTCAAAGGCATAGTTCATGTTGCTCTAGAATAAGAATGAAGGTTGATGAGTGAGTTCTACAGATGAATTTGACATTAGAGACATTAAGAATAGTTCAATAGAGAAGGGTATATATGAGATGGTGAGTGAGTCATATAGGAACTATTCAAGAAGGCTGGGAAGTGCTTCTCTTAAAGATGCCATAGGAGTTAGTCTAAGACTTCAACTATCCCTTTCAAATTTGTTATGTTAAAAGTTAATAAACCTGAAAACTGTTTGCTTTCACCAATCAAAAACTCATTTAAAACAAGATACCATGGCAACAGTTCTAAGATGGCAATAACATCCATTTTTGGTTCAAAGGCAAGAAAGCAACCATTTGTATTGCTGCTGGTGAAAGAGCTGGTATGTCCAAACAACAAAATGACCTTTAGCAAGATGACCCAAAGGCCTTTATACCTTTTGACCTAGCAATTCCTCTTCAAATAATTTATTCTAATGATGAATTGAATAAGATATTCTATGTGCACATTAAGGTGTTTAAAAATGTTTTCCCAGTTAAAATTTGTAAACAATCTACATATTTGAAAAGAAAATGGTTGGAAAAACTACATGATAAATTCCTAGGAAGTATTATAAATGTTGTTTTCCATGGATACTCATATTTACTATGAAAACTTGCTCAGTCTTTTTTTAGTGATAAAACAGGTTATAAACTGTCTAGTAAGCCCTCATTTTTATAAAATGTACACATTTTTCATTTTTATACATTTGCCTAAAACAAGGTCTTAAGAGTGAAATGCCTAATGTTAACAATGGTTTTACCACAGATAATTGCATATCTTGCTAATTTGTACTTCCAAATTTTCCAGTAATCAAAATGTATTCCTTTTGGCCGGGCACAGTGGCTCACGTCTGTAATCTGAGCACTTTGGGAGGCTGAGGCAGGCAGATCACAAGGTCAGGAGTTCCAGACCAGCCTGGCAACATAGTGAAACCTCATCTCTACTAAAAATAAAAAATTAGCTGGGCATGGTGGCAGGTGCCTGTAATTCCAATATTACTTTCATAATGAAGTATTCTGAAACTATTTTCCAAATTCCAGTTTTTCTAAATTAGAATAACCGAGTCCACAAAAAATTGTAAACTAGAAAATGTCTACTGTAGTTTTCGTTTACTACTTTCTCTCTTCACGTATTTAAATCTTTTCTCCTAAAGCCAGTGTGAATTTAGCAGAA